TCATGCGGCATCCAACAGAGCAGCCTTCGCGGGAGAGCGAACGATCGCTCACGCCCTCAACATCACGATCATCGCTGTCGTCCACAACGAGCAATGCCTCGACAACGCCATCTAGTGGCATGTCTCAACAGTCCCAACACGAGTTGACTGGTTACTTTCACTCCTTCTCAAGGTCGAAGGGACCGCAACGTCGGTCGACTATGAAGTGAATACGGTCTTCATACGCGTCACGGCAACAGTCTCTTTGCATTACGCACTACGGCCATCGTGCGAGTGTAGCGATTGCATTTCCCAGCTACCAGACCACAGCATGGTAGCTGGCTCATTGGAACGGTGTATCACTAAAAGGATGGAGGTGTATTATGAAACTAGGGATGGGCTGGACGGCGGAGGCAGTTGCCTGGTGTTGATGTTATCACGGCATGTCCGCTCGCTACTCTGTTGATGTTATATGTGGATGGATGCGTTGTTTATGGAGGATACCCCTGATTTTGCGCTTTCGGTTTGTTGGTGAGGCGGAGGACACAGCATGGGCTGCAAGTCTAGCAAGGCCCATGACTGACGAGGCTGCATTGGGCGGCTGTATGAGCATCATGAGGTGTTGTTTACGATACTCATTACGATTAGAGCCTATATGGCATTGCATAGCTGCAGTATGAAGAAGGGTTTGGTACATTGTACCTGCCACTACTTAAAGTTCACAACTCGTTCTCATTCTCTCGTCGTCGAGCACAGCCCCAACAAGTGATGAGCCTTGTAGGTGCACACGTCCTTACTCCTCGTCATGCTTTGCAGACAGCGTTCACTACTGCTGAAGTCAACGTTGCCCTTCTTGTGAACAAGAGCCCATGTCTCGTACAGCGATGAAGCTGGTACTGGCTTGCCAGACAGACACAGCTAACCTGAGCATAGCAACATCTTGGAGGTTGAAGACGGATTGCATGTCGCGCTTCTGGCTGGCAGCAGCGGAGGCTGTGGTCGCGATTAGGCAAGCGATGGCGGTGGAGTACTTCATTGTCGCCAGTGCATGGTGTTTCATACTTGCTGTAGACAGTTGCTTGAGCTTTCAGGTGCAGGTACAACAGAGCCAATGTATAACGACTGCGCATACTGCGGCCTGTGCACTGTGCCTGTGCCCTGTGACGATCAGCGGCCTCTGTGCGGTATTAGTATACGACAGAACAAGCGAACAGCAGACGTACGGTGTCCAGAAGCTTGCCTGCTGGTATATTTGGGTGATCTCTATCGGCAATGGCGCTCGATGTGGCGATGTCTGTCTATGTCAAAGACGCAAGAGCCTTACAGAGTCTCTTGGCCTGGCTGGAAGATTTCGGCGTACGGTGCACCACAGTCAAGCCGAGTCAATTGAGACAGCGTGGAGCTTTCCTCCAGCACACCTCTGAAGATAGTGCTTATGCTAGTACAGTGTGAGTTGCGATCTTGTGGCGTAGCCACGAAGCTCTCCGATCTGGCCTCCATTCGTGTACAGGTTTCAAAGTTCCTCGGTGTCGCTACATTCAACTTTCGGCATCTGTGTTGAACGGCTCGCCAGAGCTGTGAGCAGTCTCCGTAGCAGCTTGGTAAATCGGGGCTACAGATTGACATACCCTGATGCTGTCAGTGCGGTTGGGAAACGGTATATCTCGAATCGCAATCTTTGCCACACTATCTCCCGCCGCTGTGTTAGAGTCACGAGAAAATTACACAACCTTCTGCTTGATGAAGAACGCCCGCAGATAACTAAGCTGCCACGCACACGTCACACCAAGCACAGCCAACTGAATCAAACTCCACCTCACCACCCTTCCATTCACAGCCTCACTCTGATCTCTGAACTCTGCCTCCCTCTCCCGCTGGAAGATCTGCTCGCGCCTGATGTCCAGCAATCGCGCGTTCAGGTCCCGTACTTTCTGCACCACCTCGCCCAGCTTGTCCTTGTCCGACGACTCTATCGCGGACGTCTCGCCGATCGCCATGTCTAGCTCGAACTTGATACCTCCTACGCTGCTGCCGGAGAAGAGGAGGCCGGATGTAGCGGGGACGTTGGTGGGGGTGAAGCAGAGGCGGTGGTCGCCCGAGTCGGCGGCGGAGAAGGTGAATTTGCCGGTGTGGGAGCCGCGTTGGGATACGACGCGGTGGTCGTTATCAAAGATCTGGGCATGTTAGGGGCTGGGGGCTTGAGCAAAAGGTGTAGTTCATACCTCATCTACGGAGATGAAGATGCCCATATCGGGGTTCGTCACGTAGCTCTTGGACTGGTCATTCCATTGTGTTGCAGAGAAAGTACCTGCTCATCTCAGTATATCAAGTCTACGCTCTCAACGTTGCCATGCCATACCGACTACCAGCGTGTCCTTTGGCAGCTCCTCGAAGAAACATTTCTGCGTTGGTCCGTCGATGTAGAAGTAGAGCGCTTGCGATGGCACAAGAAATGCCGCAAGGCTCAGGATGCTGAACGGCGACCACATCTTGCTGGTGTTGGTTTCTGAGCACAAGAGTTCGTGGTTGCTTTGGACACGCGACGTTCAGCAGTCCCAATCGGGACTGCCAAGGATAGCACAAGCCCCACTTCACTTGTCAAACGCAGCACCCTCACAACAAACACTACAAAGGCACATACATCTGGCGCCGGCAGTGTCTTTTGGAAGAACACGTCCTAAACCAAGTCGTGCCTCTAACCAGCGATTATTGAACTACATTGACCGACAACCCCTTTCAACAAGAGAGCACACCTCGCTGTGCCTTTGCACCATTCTATCTTGCACCATCACTTGCTGGCGGACGACAGGATGTCTCTGGCGGACTCCCAATCCACCATCAAATATCTCCGGCGAACAACCCATCTCTTATCTTTCCTTCTAACGTCTTGCTTGGCGAATAGTCTTGGCTTATCTTCAACCACTCCACGCCACGTATATCGCACATCGCTCCTCTTACATCCTGTATAGATCCACTTCCCCAACATCACCTCTGCCGGCCAACCGTCTGCGACTCTTTGTCAATCTTGCAATTCAGGAACGCTACACCTCTGCCTATTGGACGAACCTGAATGGCGTGCAGTACGATACCGATAGCCTGGCCGATCGACATTTAAAGCACAGGCTTACAGAGATTCAGCGCAACGTGCTTGCCAGGAGTAGAACAGTTGCAAAGGTTACCTGAGATAAGCTCTCCAGCCAAGCGGACGACAGACAGGCATGAGGGAATAACAGCGATGACGGCGAATCGCCAATATATTAAGCCAAGTCGGACACTGTTCCTAAGTACTGTTGTGTCTTCCTCTACATCTCACCCATCACTCATCATCCTACCCTTCATATCAGAATCATGGCCATGCGCGTGGTCCACAATGCTTACACCCCCAAAGAGACCGTCGAGCTCTGCTCGCGCGCCGGAGTGCAGAAGGCCAACATGCGTATCGACAAGGTCTTCTTCAGCTCCTTCATTGCAGGCAATCTGCTCTCCTTTGCCTGCGCAGCGGTCCTGAGTACCAACACGGCTCCCTGGTATCAAGAGAACGCGCCGGGTCTGATCCGCATGATCGGTGCGCTGATCTTTCCCTTTGGTCTCACGGCCATTGTGGTGACGGGCACGGATTTGTGTACTGGCAGCTTCATGGTATGTACATCACCAGAGCACATGAAAAGTGCTCTCAGCTAAACGAGTGCAGTTCACTACGATATCAGTCCTCCACCGCCGCCTCTCCGTACTCAAGATGCTTCAGCACTGGGTCGTCACCTTCTTCGGCAACCTCGCCGGCTCCCTGTTTATCGTTATGATCATCGGCTACGGCGGCGTCTTCAATCTGACCAGCTACCACAACGAAGTCGAGATCTTCGCCAACGCCAAAGTGGTGACACCGGAATGGCACATGATCTTCCTCCGCGGCATCGGCGCCAACTGGCTTGTCTGCTTGGCCTGCTTCCTCGCGATGATGGCGAGAGAGTACTTCAGCAAGGTCATGGCGATCTGGTGGCCAACGTTCGCTTTCATCTGCTTGGGCTTTGACCATGTTCGTTTGCCATGAGTACAACCACTTACGTGTCTGAGACATTCGCTAACGGTTATACTCATCGCTCTATAGGTGGTTGCGAATATGTTTCTTATTCCGATTGCGATTTTTCTGGGAGCGCCGAAGATTACTGTTGGGTTGTATATCTGGAAGAGCATGATTCCTGCTTGTAAGTGGAGTCTTTGCTCCGGAATCTGGGCGAAAAAGAAGTTCGCTGTATAACATTACGCTAATCTTTACACAGTGCTTGGGAATCTGATAGGCGGCGGTGTCTTCGTTGGCGTGGTGTATTGGTATCTGGTGAGTGGCTGGACAATTTACACGCCGTGCGCAAGATCAGAACTAACATGTAGCAGCATGTTTCTAGCGAGCCATCACCGATCCCAATCGACGGCGATGTGTATGGAGACAGTGCGCCGCTGATGGGCCGCAACATCGACCAAAGTCCACCCAATGGTGAGAGCGAGAGCGAAGAGCGGAAGAAGAGCGCCGAGAACATGGTATAGATGATGACATGTAGCAGTGCCACAATGGCTACTTCCATCACGATCGAGATCTCGATTCCGTCATCCTCCCATATGGTTGCGTGCTGTTGACTACTTTGATCATGTCTCCGGTCCTCGATAGCCTACCAAGCTCGTGTTGGTCGCACCAGCAGCAGCGTATGCAGTGTGGCGGAGATAAGATGTAGCCTTGGCATACACCATTGAGAAGACTGATGGAAATACAGGTTCTGAGCAGCCAACGTGCGAAGCAAGAAGGCTGGCACCCACTTTTGCCTTCCACTACCCTTTTTATGTCTCTCTATTACCTATCGTAAGGCTGCTTAAGGGTGTGGATCACCCAGATGATTCGCCATCTGCTTACCTCTCCCAACCCCAACCACGCCGTGCTTACCACCCAGTCCCCAACAGCCAAGTCGGCACAACAGCGGCCAGCATTTCTTGTCCTATATAATAGTTGGTAAGAGAGGGTATATCTCGTATTAGGGAGCGTAGTCTAATGGTAGGATACTGTGCGATGGATCACTTCATTCGCTTGTGTGATCCATCTCTCACAGTGATATTGGTTCAAGTCCAGTCGCATCCAACTTATAATCCTTTTGCTTATTTGCGGTGTGCGGAGGGATGTGCAGGCCGAATTTTTGCTGCTTGCCCTTTTAATGTAGTGTGGTGGTCTGCAAGCGTCAATATTGCCTTTGATCCGTATGAAGACAGCATACCAATCGACGAGTGGTGCAAAGTAACCCAGACCAAGAGTATTGATAGGCAAGAGGTAGAGGTCGAGATTGAGGAGGCGATCGATGCAACTAATCGTACTGGCATTGAGAATAAGGCAGCTGTATGCGAACTGAGTTCCATCATACTCGGCTTCGTTTCGGCAATCATGGCTTGGGTGTCGTGCCTTGGCAATCTTGTCACAGCTACGTGAACTAATGCTCCTCGTACTAGTACAAAGTCGTGTCAGCCGCTTTGGCTCGTACTTCTCATAGCCTCCCTCGGCTTGCTCAACTCGTGGTCTCATGCAGAATGCGGTCCTTTTCCACTCAAGACGTCACGAACCCACCGCCATTGCAGTGGATCGTCTGTCCAGTCAACATCGAGCTGTCCGTGCTCGCCAAGAACACAACGCAGGTCGCAATCTCGCTTGGCTGTGCAGGCCTGCCCAGCGGGGTGGTGAACTGCTTGATGGCGTCCGGAGTCATAGTCGAGGCAACGAGCGGAGTCCACACTGGTCCTGGAGCGACCTGGTTGACGCGGATGCCTTTTGATGCGAACTGGTTGGCCAGTCCACGTGTGAGTGACACGATGGCGCCCTTCGTGCAGGTGTAGTCGAGGAGATCGGGACGGCCGATGTAGGCATTGATGGAGGCATCGTTGATGATGGTGTCGCCTTGCTGCATGTGCTCGAGGGCGTATTTGGAGAGGTAGAAGAACGCTGTGAAATGTCAGCGTGTAACTAAGTTTGAACAAATCGGTGAACGAACGATGAATGTTGGTGTCGAACGTTCGGATCCACTGTTCCTCGGTCAAATCGTGGATGTCCTCGATCATCATCTGGTATGCGTGGTTGTTGAAGAGGATGTTGATTGCCCCGAGCTTGCTCATCGCCTCGTCGATGACCTTCTGGCAGTTCTTCTGCTGCCTGAGATCCACCTCGAGCGTGTAGCACTTCTGCCCGTGCTTCTCGACCAGCTTCTTCGTCTCCTCGGCATCTGTCGCCTCTTCCTTGGACAGGTATGTGATCAGGACGTCCGCACCCTCCATAGCGAACAGGGCTGCTGTCGACTGGCCAATACCGCTGTCACCACCGGTGATGATGGCCTTCTTGCCCTTAAGCTTCCCAGCCGCCTGGTAGAGCTTGGAGCCACCCTTCCCATCGGGGACCTGCTCGACTGCGGGCTCTGGATCGAGCTTGCCCTTCTGCTGGCCTGGAGGAGCCTGCTGCTGGACTGGAGGCATCCATCCTGTGGCGATGTTAGCAACGAGTTAGGTTGTCGAGGAATGGTACACCATACCGCTCTCGAACATGTTCTTTCCTGAAGACATCTTGTGTGGCTTTCTGAAGGCTGTGTGGTAAGTTGGTGAGTGCTGAAGGTGAGAGAAAGAAGTGTATGAGAGAATTAGAAGCGAATCGTTAAGTGCGAGTAAAAGTGAGCAGCTACGCGTCGATGAAGCATCACCTATGATGACATCGGTCGTCGCTTCTCGGTCAGATCGCGGCTACTGTGGCCGCGGATGGCATCGTGTGAGCGCCTATGGTTCTTACGAGGGCCGTGATGCGCATCATGTATCGACGCAAACGATTGATGAAAGAGCAAGAGAGGATGGCATAAGACGAGACGAGTTTCACTTGCAGAGCCGCTGCCGATGCACGGATGTCCTGCTGATCCTAGCGTTGTATAGATCACACAATAAATCTACATCGCACGCACTTGTTGACAATCGATATCAAATGGCTTGGTTTCCATTCTCACTACTGACAGTATCGAAGTGATTCGTGCAGCTTCTGCATGCTTCATCCAGCATTCCACAGACGAGGTCGCAGCACCATCACCAACCGCTCACTGCAAACCCTTCATGAACTCCTCGATCTTCTTGTTAGTCTGTGCCGTGGACGCCTTGTCCTCCGCCTTGGCCTGCTCAAACTCCCGAGCCAGCCGGTCCTTAGCCGCCTTCGACGCTTCCTTGAACTTCTTCATATCATCGTTGTATCGCTCCCTCGCAGACACAATATCACTCTCATCATCGAGCTTGGTCCTGGCAATTGTGATCTCCGCATCCACACGAGCAAACTCCTGCTCGAGTGGTTGCATTTCAGCATCCTTGCGAGCGCAAAGCTTCTTATACTTGTCGAAGACACTGTCGAGAGTGATGCGTTTGGTGGCCATGCTGCCGTCCTTTTGCGGTACCTCGACGTGCATCTCCTCTTCGCCGATGGGAGTTTGGCACGCGCGCATGTCTTCTTCAAGCTTATGCCAATCTGCTTTCGTGGGAATGCCGGGTCTAGCGAGTGGACGGCCTTGCTTATCGAAGCCATTGAGACGCGCATCTAGCTCTTCGAGGATTGGCTCAAGCCGCTCGTCCATGGATGCCCTCGCACCTTGCTGGTACGCATTGACATGTGCTGTAGCCTGTAAGTAGGCATCGATGAATGGGATCTCTTTACGCTTACGTTCGAAGTTCTTGAAGACTTCATGCTTCGTCGACTTGGCCTTCGCTTTCGGTTTGGAGCCATCAAAGAACTGTGCCGCCGCAGAGCCAGTATTGCGGGTAGTGCTAGCCCGGTCGGGGTCATCATCGTTGCTGTCGTCTTCGTGCCTTCTACGCTTGTTGAGATCCTCCATAACGAATCCAGTCAGTGAAACTTTGCGCTTGCTGCTGAGCGGCTTCAGCTTGTCCTGATCCAGCCATGCGGGGCGGCTGTTGCTTGTGATGGCCATCGCTGTTAGAGTGTGTCAGTATGTCGGGATGTTGTGTCAGTAGTGTTCAGCAAGATGAAGTGAGGTCGAAACAGGGTTCAAGGCTGCCACGAGTTGAGACGGCAAGTGCGATCGACCAGCGTGGCAAGACCTTCAGCTCTGTAACACATCGTAACATGGCAGTCTATCAAGCTGTACATTGATCTTTGTAGCCCTTTCAGATGCCGCCATCTAGCTCTACCAACTCCAGCACGATGTACATGTAGATGTTACAGACACCTCTCACGGGCACTCGCTCACCAGGTCAACCTCGCAGCAGTTAGATCCGGCCACAGCAGTAGTCGCATTGCCGAAGAACAATACACGTTGGTCGCCAGCCACTCCTGGAAGTCCAGTGTTCATGCAGGCTAACGAGGGACACATTAGTTTGACTGCCATGGTGAAGTTCGATAATGCTTGCTTACAATAGTAGCTCTGTGCCCAGCATGACGCAGGCGTGCTGTTGACCGTCCCTGGCGCTGGACATCTGAAGTGGATGTCGACGTCCTCGCCTCCAAACACACATGAGCCAGTCTCAGTATACTTGGAATGCATGTACACTGGTTTGGTGCCACATGAAGCCACGCCATCCGGCAGCGAGGAGATCCGCGTCGTCACAGGCAGCGTGCTGGTTACGTTGGCCAGTTGTGTATCGTCTGCGTGGAAGGCACGATCTGTGCCATTGTCGCCAGCCCAGAAGATCAGCGAGCCGTAGCCGTTGTAGTACGGCGCGACGAAGCCTTGAGCGGATGAGTTGCGGCCGGATATGATTGCGTAGTCGCTGCTGAACGCATCGACGTAGCCGATGGTGTTGTTGGATGAGACTTCCTCAATGCGCAGTAGGAAGAGCGGCGTGGTGGTATATGACTCTCCATTCATCATGTCCGGGGCATAATGGCAGCCGCTGCGACGGTACAGTCCACTGTGTGACGGCAGTGCACTGGCCAGAGTCGATAGCGCAAGAAGCGAGAGCATGTTCGTTGGCTGCATGTTGGAGTGGTGTTTGCGAAGTATAGCGTGTGCGGTCGAAGATGTATGGGCGTACTTCAGTGCTCGTTCGTCCGGGATGTGTAACGGATCTATTAGCTGTTTCGACCTGTTTGAGCGTGTTCAACGTTTCTTTGAAGTGACAAACATCGAAGATGCAAGTGAACCTTCTCCTTCTCGCGATCCACAACGCGTCAAGTGGACACGGCCCTTGCAGCTTCCCGCATCTCTATAAATTCCTTGGATGGCGCTGAATGCAGACTTGTTCCTGACGATCTCACTGATCTGTGGAGTCAGTGTTTCAGAGTTTGTTCCGAAGTCTTCTGAAACAGGACGGTACATTATCGTGAAGCTTGATAAATGTTATCGTGTCGCCACCGTACTGCACAACCGGAACGAACGTGGATAGACTTGGTACCTAGTTAGAACACGTCGAACTCTTACACGATGGCGTCCTCCCCAAATCACCCGTGTGGAGGAGATACATTCTCCCAAGCCAGTATATTCACAGCTCATGTAGCAGCGCCGTTCATGTCTCATGACAGCAGCATATCCCTACATCCAACACATCCACGGTCTGTGCCCTCGGACGCCATTGCGGCCACCCAGTCCGTGGGATGTCCTCCGTCCAGCATGTCCCAGCACACGTACTCGTGCTCGTCAGTAGCTTCTATAACCCAGCGAAAGTAACACTCGTAATGCAGTCTCCTATGGACTGGGTGTGCTTGCCTCGGAGCCCTCAGCTTCTACCAAGACATCCTTCTCCTCCAACAGCTTAGCCAAGCTGCCGTCCTGGTGCATGGACATCATGATATCGGTGCCTCCAACGAACTCGTTGTTCACGTAGAGCTGCGGAATCGTAGGCCAGTCGGAGTACTCCTTGATACCTGGTTGCAAACCGTCAGCTCATCTTCCAGTCCCCAAGCTGGAAATGCGCATTCTCTACACACCCGCTCGCAACTCCTCATCCTCCAGTACATTGAAAGCAGTAAACTTTTGAGGGTCTACACCTTGCAGGCCGAGTATCTGAATGCTGGCTCTTGAGAAGCCGCACTGTGGTGTCTCTGGTGTACCCTTCATGAACAGCACTACAGGCGCAGTGCCTACAGCCTTGTCGATGGCTTTTCGTGTCTCCGATGAT